TGTTGCAAACAGAGAAGCCGTGTAATAGTGAGAAGATGAATTTTCAATTTAAATTCGTTAATTAAAATATAGGAGAAAAATCCAGTTGGATGTATTTTGGAAAAATAAATAAAGAGAGAATTGTGGGGGCCAGAAAACAGGTGGTGAGATTTGTATATATGATTTAGGAGTAATGCTATATGTACGTAATATTGTACACAGAGGTGTGCATAACATTCACATTTAGTGGAACCTATCAAAAATAAAAAATTAAGTGGACCCCACTCCATGTGAGTGCTTTTTGTACACGTCTTTGCATATTTATTATGTACTTGTAGTATTTTTCATGATTTAAGGAATAAAAAATGTAAAAAGTGATATAAAATAAAAAAAGTTTATTTCTAAAAATTAGATATATGTGAATGTGTGAATGAATACAATTAAAAATACAATGGATATAGTTGATGAGAAGTAAAAATAATAAAATAGTAATCAAAAGGATTTATAATTATAAATATGAGAATTGACGAATAGCAATTTGCTCAATAATACTTTTTTTAGATAAATTATATATTTTGAAAAGAGAATAAATTAATTATAAAACTAATAATTATTAGAATATGACAAGGAAAAATGATTATTATGAAACTATTATGTAAGTATAAAATATAAACTATTTGAATAATGTATGATATGAATTGTTAATTTTCTTATTTTTGTGTAAAACCACATTTAATAGTAAGTTGGTGAAGTATATAAAAATGGGTAAAAGAAAAATGTTACTAAAATTATAGAGACAAAAATTGAGATGCCATTAATGATGATTTTTGTTAAAGAAATAATAAAATAAATTTTGATTCCACTATCGAGCCAACGATTAATTTCATAACAAAACCGCTATGAAAAAATATACTATGCTCCCTAAAAAAAATAATTTAAAAAAAAATATGAATTGTTAAGGGAGGTCAACAGTCAAACTCAGCAGCCCCATTTTGTGTGTTTGAAATAATGTACACAAAAATTGAGCGGGAATGACAGAGCTTCAGGTGAAATAGTCAGTAAAAAATAATTAAATAATATAATTACCTGCGCAAGCAAAATAACCGACATGGCAGGCTGAACGGCAGACGATGGCCCGGCGAATAGCATGCACGCGCCGACATAATTTGACAACATTCCATATTACAGAATAGACTGAAATTAAATAAATACGTATAACTAATAAGTAAATTACATTAATTCTTTTTTCGAAACAATTTTTTTAAATAATTATCATTTAACACAAGCATTGCAATTCAACCCAGCTAGGAAAACAAAAATTTATATATTATATGTGATATAGGATATTATATTGGACCCGGTTTATAGATAAAGCGGATACATATTGGAGGATAAGTCCACTAAGACATCTAAGCCCAACTTGGGCCCAAAAGGTACACTCCCTCTATAAAAGGGGGCCAAAGTACCTCATTCTCTCATCCTCTCCTCATTACATTACTACACTTTATCTCTCTCTTGATTCGAGCACTGACTTAAGCATCGGAGGCCCGACGCTGGGGCCACTCCCGGCGTTGGGTTCTGCAGGTACGGAGGCCGGTTCGAGTTGAAGGAGCCCGGGTGAATCTTATTCACTTCAATGGCGCCGTCTGTGGGGACCCGACAAAAAGTCAAGCGGAGTTCCGACTGAAAAAATAGAAAAACCTCCTTCTTCTTCACCAGTCGCCGCCACCGCCGGCCGCCACCTCCGCCGCCGGCCGCCGGAAAACGTGCTCCGATCGGAAAATGGTTGGCATCATCGGATAGATCTCGCCAAGGTGAAGCTACCCTTAAAATTTCATCCAAAAATTCCTACCGGAAGGCCTTCAATTTCGCGGTCAGAGTTTCCAGATCTAGGAAAATTTGGTCAAAATCGGACGCTCAAACGCATTTTCCCGGTGATCCGTGAGGGCTATGAAAAATCCGAAGGTATCACCGGAATCCTCTCGACGGGACGAATCTCCAGGTACTGATTTCCGCCGGAAACCGCCGCCTCCGCCGCCGGCCGCCGACAAAAGTTGTCCGATCTGAAAAGGGCTTGCACCATCGCGAAGCTCTCGTCGTGCTCATTCTACCCTTAAAATATCGTGCCAAAATTCCACCGGGAGGGTCGTCGATTCACCGGTCAAAGTTTATGGATCTAAGGATTTTTTGTCAACTCCGGTCACCTTCTCCAATTTACCGGCGATTTAGGAAGAATCACTTCGAGCCGAGGACGCCATAAGAACCGCCTCGCCGAGGCGCACGCCGGGCCAATCATGGCTGCCGGAGCCGGCGATTTATTTTCGCCTGCAGTAGGTCTCCGGCAAGTCCAGCTCGCCTGTCTTCAATCCCTGCAGCTCAAGTTACAGTGAAGCCGGTCCAGCCATCGGAGCCCACGTTGAGAAGCCCAGGCGTCTGTTCGGCCCGCGTCAGCTCCAGCAAGACGGCCCAATGTGCGCCTGGTCCAGTTGGAAAGAGCAAGGCCCACCAGCGAAGCCCACTCCACGCAAGGTCCATCAGCAAGCAACTCCAGCGTTCGGGCCGCGCCCAGCCCGCGCGGCCCGCTTCTCCAGCATGTGATGGCCCGCGTCCAGCCCACTTCCAGCCCGCGAAGCCCAATTCCGGCCCAGCGCGCCTATGACCCGCGGGAAGCCTGCTTTTCTCGTGGATTTCGGCCTGTCCGCGGCCCAGCACCAGCCCACGACTTCCCAGCCCACATCTGCACGGCCCAGCGCCCTGTACACAGCCCATGAGGTGCCCAAACTCTTCCAATGCAGTCTAAAAAGCAAAAATAACCCCATTTCTTGTCCAAGACTAATTTGGGGGGACTCATAGCTGTCGGAAAGGTAAATTTAAGTAGCATTATCGTGATAAAGGTATGACGGTCATTTAAATTATGGACTTGAAGACTTTAATTGGCAAAAATGAGACAAATTATTTGTTTTGAATTGGAAATTTTGAAAGCTCGAGGATTTAAATTGGTCATATTCGACTTGAGGATTATTTGCTTTGACCGTGTTGGATTACATGGTTTACTCGTGGGTTTAGTTGAGTTGTTCGTGGAGATATATGATTCGTTCGTGGATATATTCAGCTCATTCGTGCAAAATTACTTGATTTGTTCGAGCAAGCATTATTTGAATTATTCGTGGACATTATTTGATTCGATCGAGGATGCATTATTTAAATAATTCATGAGGATTATGCGACTTTTCTGTGGAAATTAGTTGACTTATTGGAGGAGGATTGTTTAATTTGCTCGAGGTGCTATTTAATTTATTTGTGGAGGCATTTGATTTATTCAATGAGGTGCTATTTAATTTATTTGTGGAGGCATTTGATTCATTCGAGAGAAT